AGACTCTTAAGTTTCTGCAGGACAGTCCCAATGCGGTCTGTGTTTTTTAAAGTAGGTATGTCTAAATGTTGGTTTGTGCGTGTTTATATATATATATATATATATATATATATATATATATATATATATATATATAAAAGAATATGGTGGTTAAGATCTACGTAATTGGGAATTCCCTGGCAGTCCAGTGGTTAGGACTCCGTGCTTCCACTGCAGAGGGCACAGGTTCAATCCCTGGTTGGGGTACTAAGATCCTGCATGCCGTGTGGCGTGGCAAAAAAAAACTACATAATTTGCATTAATGAATAAGAATTAGTGTAGTTTTCCAGCACTTCTTTTGCCAAGCAGTCTTCACCATTTTGTTCTAAACATGATGTGTGAAAAAGGAATTAACACAACTCAAAAATGGGCAAAGGGGTGACTTCCCTGGCAGTCCAGTGGTTAAGACTCCGAGCTTCCACTGCAGTGGGCATGGGTTCAGTCCCTGGTCTGGGAACTAAGATCCTGCATGCTGCATGGTGCAGCCAAAAAATAGTAAATAAATAAATAAAATTTTTAAATGGGCAAAGGGCTGAATAGAAACGTCTCCAAATAACATACACAAAAGGCCAAGTGTTATGGTAATGTAAAATGGTACAGCAGCCCTGGAGAACAGTTTGGCGGTTCCTCAAAAAGTTAAAATGTGGAATTGCCATATGATGCAGCAGTTCTGTTCCTGGATATGTATCTGAGAGAATTGAAAACAAGGACTAAAACAGACACTTTTACACTAATGTTCTATGAAGCATTATTCATAACAGCCAAGAGGTGGAAACAAATTGTCAATCATCAGATGAATGGATAAACGAAATGTGGTATATACATACAATGGAGTGTTATTCAGCCTTTAAAAGGAATGATATTCTGGGAATACCCTGGTGGTCCAGTGGTTAGGATTCTGCGCTTCCAGTGCAGAGGGCACAGGTTTGATCCCTGGTTGGGGAACTAAGATCCCGCAAGCCACGAGGCGCAGCCAAAAAAATAATAATAAAAATAAAAAATAAAAAGGAATGAAATTCTGATACCTGCTACAACATGGATGAACCTTGAAAACATGCTAGGTGAAATTAAGTCAGTCACAAAATGACAAATATTGTATGATTACACTTAAAGTAGGTAGAGTAGGCAAATTTATAGATACAGAAAGTAGAATAGAGATTACTGGGGTCTGTGGGTGGGGCATTGGGGGTGACCGGGAGAGAAGATAGGGAGTTGTTTAATGGGTACAGAGTTTCTATTAGGGTTGATGAAAAACTTGTGTAAATCGACAGCATTGTGAATATTCTGAATGCCACTGAATTTTACACTTAGGTATAAATATGATTAAATTGGTAGCTTTTGTTATGTATATTTTACCATAACTTTTAGAAATGGGAAGGGGGAAGGAATTGTCTCTCTGCTCATCAGCAGACACTTATGATGCCAGGGATCCAAAAGTGAGTAGATCACAGTGTTCAGCCTGGGGTTGGAACCTATGCATTCTACTACAGTTATGTGGTCTGGACAGAGAGAAAGAGACATCTGTCCCATATCAGAATTCATTGTCTATTTCGGATTACTTTGAATGGATTTGAAACGTTACCAGTGAATTCTGAACAAACAGCTGTGCCTTTAATGACTCCTTGCCTCAGGGAACAATGGGGTGATTTATAATAGCACAGCCTCCATATCCCATCAAGTGGTTTTGTTGTTATTATTTTGCATTATAGGGGATGATATTCTAAAAGGATTTAATAGATTTTTAATATCCCCACATATTATTTGATATTCTTTAAAACATATCCACACACAGATTTATCATAATTGCTGTTAAGAGTATATGTGGGGCAATGTGCTCACCAGTCCCGCAGATCTGTCTCTTGCTTCAACAGTGTTTGGACGGAAGAGACCCAGGGACGCCTCTTGCTCCAGCCTCCGACCACCCTCCAACCTTTTTTCCAGTCGCAACCTTCAGAATCAGCCACTCAGCTATCCTTGGCCACCAGGACCAGCTAACACCATTTTTTGAGCATAACTCCTTATTACCGACCAACCCTGAGCTCCCAGATTCGTCAGAATTATTCCATCAAGGTGGAGGCTGCCATCAGCTGCCTGGTCAGCATGCATCTGCGGGCCTCCTACACCTACCTCCTCTCCAGGCTTCTATTTCAACCACGACAACGTGGCTCTGGAGGACATGGGCCACTTTTTCTGTGAATTGGTGGGGAAGAAGTGCAAGGGCGCCCAGCGTCTCTTGAAAATGCAAAACCAGTGTGGCAGCCGTGCCCTCTTCGAGGACATGCAGAAGCCATCTCAAGATGAGTGGGGTACAAACCCAGGACACTTTGGAAGCTGCCATTCTCATGGAGAAGAACCTGAACCAGGCCTTTTGGATCTGCATGCCCTGGGTTCTGCCCGCCCAGACCCCCACCTCTGTGACTTCCTGGAGAGCCACTTCCTAGATAAGGAGGTGAAACTCATGAAGAAGATGAGTCACCGCCTGACCAACCTCCGCGAGCTGTTTGGTCCCCAGGCTGGGCTGGGCGAGTATCTCTTCGAAAGTCTCACCCTCAAGCATGATTAAGAGCCTCCAGAGCCCAGCGGCCTTTGAGGAGCCCCTCTGGTGTCAGGGCTTCTGCCTGAAGCCCCTCTCTGCAGCCACTAGGCAGCTTTTTAACCACCCTGGACCCCCTCTCCCAAGCCTTGGACCAAATGGAAACAATAAAGCTTTTTGCAGCAAAAAAAAAAAAAACAAAAAACAAAAAGACTGTATCTGGGTTCATATAATGATGATAATAGCCAACTCCCAATTATTGAATGCTTGTTGGGCACCAGACATTATATCGAGAACTTAATTTTTACAACAGCTCTGTGAGGCAATTAGCCACAGTTCACCTCAGTTTTCAAATGAGCGCACTACATAGAAATGCTGTAATTTTACGAGTTAACAGCTGGGACTTGAACCTAGGTACTTGTTATTTCAGACCCTAAGCTCTGCAGTTTTCCAGAAGTAAAAATGTAAGGATATTAAACCATATAAAGTCTTTTGCAGTTCTTCACATCCACAGTTTATGATGAGGTGTTAGTGCTGCCTAGTATTTGGAGTGAGACTGAATCTGGAAAATCCCTTGAAGTGCTAGAAAGTGTTGTGACAAGACAGTCTTACTAGTCTCACTACAGCATTGTTAGCGGGGGCCTGAATGTGCCACGTGAGAGTTCCTTCACCTAAACAAAGCCTCTCGTCACCTTAACTTGCCAAGATACATTATGTTAGCTTTAATATTAATAGAATTCTCTTCATTGACTATTTTCTAAGATATAATGAATGGTTTGGTACGAAGTTGTAATTTTTTACAACTGGAGGAGGCTTCTGCCTCTTCCTCCACAACAGCCATTCCGCACCACCTACGCTCTCCCGGCCACCCCTCTCTCACCCAGCAGGCGCTTCTGCCCTCACACCAGGGAGAAAGTGCACAGCGGCGCCCCTGAAACTTTTTCTGTCCCTTATGTGTAAGCTCCCCTGCATCCTCAGTCCTCCCTTCCCTGTTGTCTCTCAACAGAGGGGATCCCTAACCCCCTTCCCTTAAGAGCCTGCTGCCCAGAAGCTCCCTCTCTCTTCTTCTCCCCACCCTTCACAGCCCAATGCCCCTGGCACCTGGTTAACACCATTAATTATTTGTCAAATGGACGCAGCAAACATTGGGGGAAAACTGAGCTTGTTTTCCTGTAGAAATGGGATCATACCGTAGTGTTATCGTCATTGTATTTCAGATGCAGTGTACTTTAAGGCCTTTATAGACTTTCTGGGGCCCTGAAAATCATGTGTTTTCAGTGAATTTTTTTTTCATGTAAACATATATGTAAACAACTAAGAAGTCCATGCACTTTAGGGATAAAACCATAAGTTGAGGCTGCTTGTGTTCTCAGAGTACTTTGTCTCCCATGAGAATGTAAGCTCTGTCAGCGTAGGACTCTTTTTCATTACTTCCTGGTATGTCCTTTGGGCCCAGGTCAGAGCAGAACCTGCCACCCCGTGCATACTCAGCAAATAAAGGTTAAATGAATTCAGCAATACTCCTTGAAGGGAAGGGGCAGGAAAGCTCACAAGTGGGAGGCACGAATATTTCTCCTTTGAGTCATTGCAGCGGCGTCAATAAACCAGATCACTAAACTATGTAAATGTAACGTGTTCAGGCTTAAATGCTTCGCTTTTTCTTAAGGATTCTGTGATTCGGGAGTAGGAAGGAGGAATGGCTAGCTATTTAAAAAATGGTTAAATTGTAGGGACAAGATCACGGTAGGGGATTAAGAGGTACAAACTACTATGTATAAAATAAATAAGATATAAGGATATATTGTACAGCACAGAGGACATAACCAATATTTTATAATAACTTTAAATGAAGTACGATCTATAAAAATATTGAATCACTATGTTGTACACCTGTAACTAATATAATGTTGTATCAGCTATACTTTAATTTTCTTTAATAGTTAATTTTATTTTCTGGTATTTGAGGCCTAGTCCTCAAGGTGCAGTGCCTACCTTTTAGTCAAAAGTCATGAAAATAAAGGTATGATTGCTTGATCAGCATTTGGTCCCTCTGTCCTCTTGAGTGTAATTTCCCTACCATGTGTGACTGACATAGGGCAATTAGGCACAATTAACTTTGAAGTAAAGTAATTGCCCCTTCACCTTATATCTGTTTGCCAACAAAAAAAAAGGTGAATTCTAAGCTACCACCTAGAGTCCGGAAAATTGGAATTTTACTACTAATGCAGATTTCTGTCCACCACCTTGGGGAGACCAGATAGATGGACCTAGGCCTTAATCCTGAGGACATCTTCAGTTTGTTCCATTTCCTATTTTCAGACTCCACCCAACCTTGCTTCTACAAACTGTTTTGGTTGATGGAAAGGAAGTTTAGATGCGCTTGTTTGCAAGAGATTTCTTTCATTGGGTGGTTTGATTTGTTTTTCAGTCTGCTCCGTCTGGACACAAACATCTGACAGTGGAAGAATTATTTGGAACCTCTTTGCCAAAGGAACAGCCAACAGTTTTGGGTCTGGATTCAGAAGAAGTGGAGAAGCTGCCAGGAGATGCCTCCCAGAAAGAGCCCAGCTCGTTCCTACCATTTTCCTTTGAGCCAGGAGGGGCCCCTCAGTCGGAAAACCTGGGTGTCCATCCTGCTGCCCACCACTCAGTCCAGCCTGAAGTCACCACCCCGGTGCTAATCACTCCTGCCTCCATCACACAGTCCAGCGAAAAGCAGGCCCCAAGCTATACGATCTCGTTGCACCCTGTGCTTAGTCCTACTCTACCAGCAGAAGCTTCTACTGGACAGGCTCCCCCAAGCCTACCCCGAAACACCACCATGATGCAAGCAGTGAAGACCACACCTAGACAGAGGTCTCCACTTCTGAGTCAGCCAGTCCCTGAGCTGAGCCACACCAGTCTGACTGCCAGCCAGAGCTCATTCAGGGCCCCGCTGAGTGTGACAAACACAGCCAGTACATCCCTCCCAAGCGTTGATCTTCTCCAGAAACTCAGGTTGACCCCACAGCATGACCAAATACAGACACAGTCACTTGGGAAAGGTGCAGTGGCACCCAGCTTTTCTGCAGCAGCTGGCCAGCTGGCCACGCCTGAGAGCTTCATAGAGCCTCCCACGAAGACAGCAGCAGCGAGAGCCTCAGCCTCCCTGAGCAACATGGTGCTTGCTCCCCTTCAGGTACTGGCAGGAGGGTGGGTGGCTGTATCTGGGTGGGATGAAACTGCAAAGACCTGGATTTTAATTGACAGGAGACAGTTGTTTAAAGAGACAGCTGTTGAGTGTGTCAGGAGCTAGAAGAAAGGAGAGAGAAGCCCCGCAGCGATCAGCCAGACCATTGGGAACTGGTCTTGTAACTCAATTCACTTCCCAACGTTATTCCAACTGATAAAAGCTAAGAAACAGGATGTATTTTCCTTCCCGGGTGTACATTTTAGGGCTCTTTGTTTATTTTTGCCTAACAGTTCCAGCAGTTCTTATTTGACTCGGGACCACGGATCCAGATTATCCCAATCTTTGTTCCATCCCTGGCTCCCTCAGTACCCTCACTGAGTGCCTGCCTTGTGCCAGGAGCGTTAGGGCTGCCATCAGACCATCCCAGATTTGGAGGTCTGGGGTCAAATAAAGTTTCCTCAGGAAACTGATGTTCAGCTGAGATCTGAAGACTCAGTAGAGGTTAGCCAGACCTATTCTAGAGGTAGGAAGAGTATGTGGAAGCAAGGAAAATAGCACATACAGAGGCCTGGACATGAGAGGGCATTTGCTGAACTTGCACTGTGGCTGGATCTACATGGAAAGAAATGTAGGGGAGCAGGTATTTGTTGATGAGCAAAACTTTGTAAATTGCGTCAAGGAGTTAGAGGTTTGTTCTAAGGGCCCTGGGGAGTCTTTTAAGTGCTTTGAGCCAAGGGTGGCTTGCCGGGAAAGGAGAAGATGGAAGTAGAATGACCCATCAGGAAGGAGGCTGGGGCAGTCACCCAGGCTTGAGCTGGTGGGGGCCTGCACTGGGGAGTGTGGACCCGTGGATTTTTTAAGAAGCAGGGTCAGTGGGACTTAGTGGTGAAGTGGGTGTGGGGGTGAAGAAGAGGCTTGTCCCTCAATTTATAAGGTCGGTGAGTTTACAAATGAGGAAGTCAGGTCAGAGTTGGAAGTGACTTGTGCAAGATCACAGAACTGAAAGGGGGTAGAACCTTTCAGGGTTTTAGTCTCATGCCCTTTAATAATTATAATCCCCAACTCTTAACATTTTACCAAATAATATTATATAGAAGAGCCCATCATAATAATTGAATATTATTTCTTAGTTAATGGAGTATTTTTTCCATTCCATTGAAATTCTGTACAGAAAAAGAGGAAACCTAGTGTCCCGGTTACATCATTAAATTGTCATTTTTTGCCGTTTCTATCTGCAGTATAAGGAGGGGAGAAAATGTTCTGTTTAACAGTTAGGTATCACACCCCTGCAGTGTGTCTGCTGCCACTGTTCCTGTTGTTCTGGAAGTACAACCAGCAGTGGTGAATGCCACCCCCTCCAGATTTTGCCCTCTGGGATGGCACCCTGCTCTCCAGCATGCCTCCTTGCAAAGGAAGCTTATAAACATGTACATTTTCATTTATGTGGCAGTATTGAATTTTAGGACCTTGGGCTTTATTGAGTTCCAATATATTTGCTCTGCACAGGAAGTTTTTTGTCTCCCAGTGAATGGGGATAAAATTTAACATGTGGAATTGTGACTCTGTATGAAGACTATTTAGTGCCACCTGTCCAAAGTTTAAATCACCTTATCAGGAGGTATCACACTGCCAGGATCTTGCATCTCTACAGCCTCAACAGCAAAAATAGGCTTGGGCTGTCCCAGCTCTTATAAGAGACACAGGTTTCAGCTTTTTCCTTAGAGACACTTTCAAGGCTTTGCACGCACCCCTGTTCTCGGGTGGAACTGAAGGGGGTCGGGTACTGTCCCAGAGCTCTCATCCTGCATTGTCACAAGTTCTGGTCAGCCTCTCCCCTCAGGAGTCTAGGAACCAGATCACGTCTGAACTATTCCTTACTGCTGCTAACCTAGATTTTTCCACAGTAACTAAGAAATCTTAATTGAAACTTGCTACATCTGTTCATCTTTTCTTTTTAAACGTTGCAGTCTATGCAGCAAAACCAGGATCCTGAAGTTTTTGCCCAGCCTATGATGTTATCCAGTGCCATCCCGGTAAGGATTCCCTTTTTCTGAAGAGCACAGTATGTTTAAGTTCTTCTGCTGAGTGTGAAGTAAAACGTTGTCACTTGAGTGAAAAGTTTTAGCTTTCAAGCCTAGGCCCATCTTAGATGCCCCCTCCTGCATCAAGCCTAGGCCCATCTTAGATGCCCCCTCCAGTAGTCCTCAAGGCATCTGTCTGCAGTGATGTCTTCCCTGACTGTGTGTATGGGAGGGCAGGGTGGGCCACAGCAGGGGCACTCACTCAGTGTTTGTGAATGGGCGACTGCTGAGAGCAAGTCAGCCTGGTCCCTATGAGTAGGAGATTGTCTTTGCCCTGGAAGAGCTGTGGTGTCTCAGTAAACAGAGGGCAGCATCACTACGATGCCCTCATTGGCTTCCCGTTGCTCTGACGACAAAGCCTCCCAGGCCTGTGTGCTCTGGGTCTTGCTGTGTCTCCCCTGCCTCATTTTTTAAAAGTTGCCCTCATCCTCCATTACCTACCAGCCTTGACATGCACACTAATTTTTTTCAGTTTTTAAACTTTTACATTCCTTTTGCCTTTGAGCCTTTACACCGCTCCTCAAGTCTCAGAATTTAAAGTATAGCCAGCTTCTGACTGGTCTTGTTAACGGGTCTTTTCTGTAGCTTGTCCTGCTGTATGGTGATCGGCGGAAGCTCTCAGCCTGGTGTTGCACCAAAAAAACAAACCAAATGGCTCAGAACCCAGAAACCACATTCTCAAAACTATGGCAAGCTCTTGGCTATTTGTAAATGAGGAGGGTGACAGATAGGAGGAAAAAAATATATAGCTCTCTGTTGATTGTATCAAAATGTGAGAATTATTTAAAATACTAATTATTACTCTTTTGTGTATTCTAATGGTTAGCCGTTATTAGCCCAGAAGTACATCTAAATGAAAGGAGATAGATATTAGATTTATGTTTTTAAAATGTATCTTTGGGGGCTTCCCTGGTGGCGCAGTGGTTGAGAGTCTGCCTGCCGATGCAGGGGACACGGGTTCGTGCCCCGGTCCGGGAAGATCCCACATGCCGCGGAGCGGCTGGGCCCGTGAGCCATGGCCGCTGAGCCTGCGCATTCGGAGCCTGTGCTCCGCAACGGGAGAGGCCACAACAGTGAGGGGCCCACGTACCACAAAAAATATATATATATATCTTTGATACCAGTAATGGTATAATAAATACGTTGAACACCACCAAAGAAACTAAGGCTCAGGGTTTCCATGGTGGTCCAGTGGCTAAGACTCCGCACTCCCAATGCAGGGGGGCCCAGGTTTGATCCCTGGTCAGGAAACTAGATCCCACATGCCACAACTAAAAGATCCCGCATGCCCCAACTAAGACCCAGTACAGCCAAATAAATAAATATTTTTTAAAAGAAAGAAACTAATGCTTCATATAACTGGGTTTTTTTAAATTCTCTTTTTATTGAAATAAAACTTACATATAATAAAATGCAGATTTTTTTAATTGAGTTTTAACATACATATATCCCTTGGGTAATGACCCAGCCAAGGTTTGTAACATTTCCATCACCTCAGGAAGTTCGTTCACACCCTCTTCCAGTCATTTCTGTGCCCCTCATGGAAAAACTTTACATGTTTGATTTATCACAGGACTATTCTTGCTGTGCATACCCTGCTGTTATTTATCAGGTTCCCCTTCTGTGATGATCAGGCCTGGCTTCTCATAACAACTCTAGGGCATCCTTATCATATAAATGGACTCTCTATCCTTCAGCTAACAAGCTTCCTAACCAGACGTAAAATGCCCAGATGCTGCTCCTGAATGTTTATCTGAACCCCAGATAGTTAGCACTGGACTCTGGGCTCCAGTCTCCTGCTGCTTATGCTTGTTATCAGGCGTCCACTACTCAGCGTGGCTGCTGACTTCCACACTTCGGTGCAAAATGACCATTGTTCCCCTGCAGGTGGCAGGCCCCCCACTGGTTCCTGCAACAACTTCGGCAGTGTCCTCAGTCCTGCTGTCCCCAAGTGTTTTCCAGCAGACAGTTACAAGGTCCTCAGACCTTGAGAGGAAAGTAAGCTCCCCTTCTCCTCTCACTGTTGGAACATCAGAAAATCAGAGAAAGCCTTCCATTGTCCTCAGCAAGTCTCAGCTCCAGGATACATTAATACATCTAATTAAGGTATGTAGGATACCAATTTCGTCTTTGAATTTCATTCTTTAAAAATAAAAAAATTGTATGACTTCTTAGAAAATCAGCTCATAAAGAAAATTCAAGACTAGCCAGAACCAGTGTTTCTCTCTTCTTGGGCATATGCTCCAGGTGGAAAAATATCTGAGTGAATTCCAAAATATTAATGGTTATCTCTGGGTGGTGGGATTCTTTGGGTAATTAGTTATACAAATCATGTATACAGCTTCTTCCTAAGCAGTTATCAAGAAAGTAAGCTCTAGTGAGGTGAATGTGACATTACCATCTCTTCCAGAATGATTCCAGCTTCCTCAGTACGCTTCATGAAGTCTACTTGCAGGTTCTGACCAAGAACAAAGACAGCCACAACCTATGACTGGAGCAGAGTCGATCCGAAGGCAGAATGGCGACCTCAGAAACAATAGGCCTCATCATGGAAACTTCTAAACAGAACATTGAGTTTTGAGAATCCTGAAATTGAGCCTATGAGAAAGAGACTCATTCCTTAAGAATGTTTTCCAAGTGACGTTCCCAGTGATAATGGAGGTTTCACTGTGAAGCATCACCAGCAGACCTTTGTTTTGACAAAAAAAAAAAAAAAAAAAAAAAAAAAA